TGGACAAGAACAGCGGCGCGGCGGTCCGCAATACCTATCCCAAGACGGCTCGCGCTGCGTTGGCCCAGAAGCTGGGCAAGGTGGCGCGCGCGGACAGGGGCGCGGGCATTTGCTCGATCCGGCGGGGGCGCGTAGCCGATCGTCTCTTGCGCGGATCCCTCGCGGGCGCGGGGGGCCTCTCTGCGCTCGCGGGTCCGGGAGTCTCGAAGCAGGAGCTGCACGAGTTGGCCGATGGCATCTCGCAGCAGCCTGCGACGCGACGTGGCTTTCCGAGCTTGCTCCCCCCCGCCGATGGCCCCATTTTGCGCGGCTGGAACGCCCGCGCCTTCAATCTGGATCGCGACCGCGTCCTCGCTGGGAGGGTCGCCGAGGTTCGGGGCCTCTAGACGAGAGTTCCACGCTGGTGGCCCAAGAGAGACACATGCGAACGATGCAGTCTTGTCTGGGCTGGCGCGCGCGCGCTGGCGCCCAAGTCTGGCGCCGTCTTCTCGGCGCCTACGCGGGGCGACCAGGGCGGCGCCGCGACCGCCCGCCAGTTGTCCGGGGGGGCGAAGGTCACCCGCGGCCGCATTTGTGGCAGGCGCGTCTGGCCCGCGACCTTCTCGTGGGAGCGACCTGCTCGCGGGGGCTCAGCCGCTAGAAGCCCGCGGTTTCAACGTCCACGACCAGGGTCTCGCCAAGGAGGAGATCCGCTTGGTGGCGGGGCGCGTTCGTCGCCTCGCGGACCCTCTGCGCTCCGACCCAGGGCGCCGTGACTCGGCGGTCCCTGGGGGCTTCCATAAATTTGACATGGAAGGCGAGTTCGTCACTCGCTCGCTCGGGCGCCCTAGTTGGCGCGCCCGTCGCCCTCGGGGGCGCCAGGGGGCGCTCCGCCGACCTCCCATCGCTGCCCCCTCCTCTTCAAGCTCTAGCTCTGATTCGTCGGTCTCGGCGGCGCCATCGCCCGCCTCACTCGGCGGCGCAGAGACGGCGTCCTGAGGGATGGGGTCCCGAGGGCGAGGTGCTGCAGACAGTGTGCATCCAGCCTTGGCCCTAGGATCCTTCCTTTCCCTTTGCCCCTATCTCCCAGGGCTCCGTCTTTGAGCCGCCGACTCGTCGCCCCACTCTCGCGCTGCCGACGCACGCGCCACGCCGGCCGCAGGCGCGGCCTCCTTCGGCACTTCGCGGAGCTGGTGCCAAGCCGGGCCACGTGCCGGCATGAAGGTGCTCGCACTGGCGCGGTCATCGACAGGCGCTGCGTCGCGGATGCCGGCTGGGCCTCAGCGCGCGAGTGGCAAGGGGTACCTCCGTCGTGGCTTCAGCGGCCATGCGCCCATCTCCGTTGCCCTCCGCCCTCGCGATGATCTGCCCGGACGTCCGTGACGGCCCCCATGCCCGCGCTGTTCGGCGCCCTCAGCGCCCATCTTGCGCGGCGAGCAACAAATCTCGGCGCGGCGGTTTGGAGTTGCACATCCTTGGGCGGTCGGGGCTTGCAGCGCGGCGTCGCCATGCCGCGAGGGAAGCTCCGCGAGATTCGCCGTTGTCCTCCAGCGCCGATGGGGGCGCGCGAGAAGGCGATGGCGGCGCGCGCCACACGGATGTTGGAATATTCGTTTGCAGCGCGGTCGCCGTTGCATCACTATTGGCTGAAAGACTTCGCAGGGGTGGTTCGCGAAGAGATGAGGATTCAGATCCTGGGTCCCTTTTCGCTCGCTGCTCGCGCTGGCCACCAGCGGGGGGGCGTCGGCGGCGGGGGGCGCTCGGCTGGAGCGCTTCCGACGCAGCGCCCATCGCCCCGCAGTTGCCCGCCAGGCCGCGAAGGGAATGCAGGCGCTGAGGAGGCGGGCCTCTCTGCGGGGCGGACGCCTCCCAGCGGGTGGCAGCGCGCCCGCGGGCCCATCCTGGACTGCGACATTGGGCCCTTTTCTCCCAGCGCGAGTCGCCGCCGCCCGCGGGCACGGAGGCCCATGCGAGACGCTTCCCGGGCAAGGGCGACTTCGCCGCGCTCGCGCCTCCGACGCTTGTCTCGTTTCGCGGATATTTGAATCGCGCGGTCGACTCCGCGCCAGCAGTCGACGGCATGGCGCGCCGAGCGCGGCGTGCTGGCGCCAGCGTTCAGGCCTCGCGCGCTTGCTTCTGGCGGATGGCAAGGGGGCTCGGGGCGCCGCTGCTCTCTTCTTCATGCTCCTCGTTTTTTCTTCTCCTCAGAACTATCATTAATATTTTATCATTCTCCGCTGGGACCTTCATGCCGAAGGGCGAGGAGGCGCCCGATGGCGCGGGCGCCCCTTTCCGCTGGGCGGCCGAAGACACTCGCCCGCCGGTTTCGGGGCCGATTGCGAGCGCGACGGTGGCAGGGGCGGTCGACCATCGCATTGGCGGCCCCATCCAGAAGGTCGCTGCGCGGCCGCCACTTCGTCGAGCGAGTCGTGGAGATGGACAGCCGCGCTCGCGCCGCCAGCGCCTCCGGGCGCAGGCCGCCTGCGTCGCGGCGCGGGCCTCCTGGCGAGCGGGCGCCCAGCATGCGAGCCTTCGACTTCGCGCGGGCCTCTCTGGCCCCACGCAAACGCGGGCATTGACGCGCGCGCGGATCCATCGCCTCCCTGCCAGGCTGCTTGCTGCCATAGGTCAGTTCTACGAGGTGAACTTCTGCTGGCTAGCCGTCGGCGGCGCCATTCACCCTGCGCGCTAGATGATGAGCTGGGCGACCCAAGGATGCATTCGGAGTGGTTCTGTCTTCGCGGTGGCAGCCAATTGCTCACGCGTTGACACGGCGAGCAGCATTCAGAAGACAGGTCGCGGGATGGTCTTTGCATGCGCTGATGACGCGGGCGCTGCCTTGCGCAACGGCGATTCATTGCGACTGGCCGAGCGGATCTTCAGCCCCGCCTTTCGCCTCGCGGCACTGGCCCTGAAGGCGCCCCCGCGCGCGGTCGCCCCGCTGATCGAGCCCCTCTCGGACGACGTCGAGCGGGAGGTGGCGACCATCCTCTCTCAATGCGGATGGGAGGGATTCTCCATCGTCGCGTTTCGCGCGCCTGGGTTGCGAGGAGGCGCCAGCGGTCGTAGTCGAAGATCAATGGCTGACCTCGCGTGCGAAGCCGCGTGGGCGCGTGAAAACCGATGTGAGATCATTCGCTGATCCGTCCGCGGTCTTTCGTTTCTGTCGCGGACAATTCATGCCGGCTTCAGCACAGAAGGTGCTTGTTTGAGCTTCCTCGGGGCCTCGGGATGACCGGGTGACCTCGGGGAGCTCGGGGTGGACCTCGGGGAGCTTGCCGCCCCACTCGGCCCGGCTCGAGTTGAAGGTCTGGAGCGGGCCTGTGATCGTCAGTCGCAGGGCCTTGGGTGGGCCGCTTGATTGCGCAGCTTTCTGTGCCCCGTCACTTGGTGGCGGGATAGCCTCGAGATGTTGCGCAGAGCGGTCAGAACCGATGGGCGTCTCTCCTCTCCCCCCCCCGTCGAGCCCCCCCCCCCCCGCGGTGGTCCTCGGCCCCGATCGGTATTAGCTTCGCATTCGCCTCCCAGGGTTTTCCAGGATCCGATGTAGGGCTTCCCAGGAGCCGATGCCTCGAGGCAGTCAGGTGCCCCGTGAGCAGCTCCTGACAGCCAGGCTCCAGAAACTGCTCTGATGTCCCTCGATCGCGGCGGCGGTGGGGTGGGGGGGGGGTCGGAGAGATCTGAGCTAGGTCCCTAAGGTTGTCGCGCCCGCCGCTCTGCAAACCTGGCTCGGCGGATGGACCCTTCCTCATCGCATGCGAAGCCCTTGTCGGTCATGTACTTTTGGGTGCGGAGCTCCACTTCTCTCGTGATGGATCGATCCTGCGAGGAACTCTGCGCCGCATGGTCCCCGTGGCTCCCGCGGTGCGCGTGGGTCTGTCCCCTGAGCAGTGCGCAGGGGCCCCGCAATCTGGATGCCGTGGCGGCACATGTGCATGCTTATCGTATCACTGACCATCCTGAGCCCTCCCGCTCAGTCAGCAAAGGCGGCAAGGCTGATGCCGCGCGCGCTGCCCTGAAGCTCGCGCAGTCGGGCCGTCCTGGCCGTCAGCGTGGCTGAGCTCGCCGGGTTGATCGAGGACCGCCCCCTGTGCCTCGCTCCGCCTCGCTCGTCCTCCCTGAGTCTTGGGAGGCGCGGTTGCGGGCCCCGCGGCGCCCCAGCAACACCGGATCTTGCTCCTCTCTGGGGGCCTGCTGCTCCTCCTCTTCCTCCTCCTCATCCTCCTCCTCCTCCTCCTTTTTCTTCTCCTCCTCATCATCCAAGTTTCATACGTGCTGTTTGTCGCCAGAGTTGTGCTACCAGCGCAGCCAAAGCTAGACGAGACCAAGAGGAATGCCCTGGCTACTGTGAGGCTCACAGCAACCTAGTATGCAACCCTGGAGGTCACAATCCGTATTTCTTTGGATCTGAAGACGCACGCAGTCCCCTCAGTTTAATGTTGTGCTGGACCTGTGGCGCCTTTATAGAGAGCACTCGAGGCCTAGCTGATGATTGCCCAGGAGTGCCCCATAACCACGGTAGACGTTTACAGAAGCAGCGTGCCATGGAGGGAAGACATCCCGAGGGGGCTGCGAATTCACCAATCATCTTGAGAGCTCCCATCCCCCTGGCTCAGCTTGTGAAAGAACTTACAGAGTATGGCCCCGCCGACCCCAACGAGGGTAATCCGAACGAGGTTTCATAATGCCAGGGATATGTTTCACGAGATGTGTGCCACCCGCCCGTCTCCGTGATCGGCCCCGCCTGCCAAGAAAGCCCCCTAGAGGGGATGCGGCTAGAGGCCCAGGATGGCCGAACTCCTCTCTTCAGTCCGAGCGCTGGTCCTCCTCCTCCTCCTCCTCCTCCTCCTCCTCCTGCTCCTCGTCCTCTTCGTCCTCCTGCTGCTCTTCCTCCTCCTGCTCCTCCTCCTCCTCCTCCTCCTCCTCCTCCTCCTCCTCCTCCTCCTCCTTCGTTCGTCCTTCTCGATTGGGGGGGTCCTCGAGGGAGCCCCGTGGCCCCCACCCCCCCCTTTGCCGCCGAGGCGCCCGCCCGGGCCGAGCAGCCCGACACCCACGGCGAAGCCCCGGCGCCGCAGCCTTCGGCGCGGCCACCTTCGGCGAGCCCCGGGGGAGAAATGGGGGCGGGGAGGAGGAGGAGGAGGAGGAGGAGGAGGAGGAGGAGGAGGAGGAGGAGGAGGAGGAGGAGACGAGGAGGAGGAGGAGGAGAGGAGGGGAGGAGGATCATATGTCAGTTGTGTGACGACTTTGCTTGGTTATCCGAGAGGAGGAGGAGGAGGAGGAGGAGGAGGAGGAGGAGGAGAAGGAGGAGGAGGAGGGGGAGGAGGAGGAGGAGGAGGAGCAGCAGGAAGAGGAGGTGGAGGAGGAGGAGGACGAGAAGGAGGAGGACGAGGAGGACGAGGAGGAGGAGGGGGAGGATCAGAGTAAACTCGAGATCCGCCGTCGATGATGCAATGCACCCCGCCCCCAATATTCGTGTTCGCAAGTCCTTACAAACCGTTGTCTCACTGAAACAAGCGGCCCGTTGATGGAGGAGCTCCCCTATGGGCCTGCCATTCATGCTGGAGCTTTGTTCCAAAATCTATGTGTCTTGCATTTTCCCATCGCGCAAGCAGCACCGCGGCACGGTATGATCCTTTATGTCAGCGGTGCGTCCAGCGCGGTTCTCGTTTTGAGAAAGGACCAACCCCCTACTCGTGCAACTGTTGCGCAAGGTTGCACCTTGGGTCAACAACACCGAGGGAGTTCCAAGCGAAGGCAGTTGGAAAAGAAACCGCCTTCCCGTGCAATTGTACACGCATGCTGAAGGTCTTGGTCTCTACCTCCAACGACGTCCCAAGCGGGAGCTCCAGTTTGAAATGAGGCCGCCCTCCGTCCTTAGTGCTGCTGTTCAATTTTGTACGGGGAGTGTGCACGGCGCGACGGCGAGAGACCAGTTTGAGAATGCGCCACCCTTCATCTTCGCCACGGCTTTAGAACTGGTAGGGCGTCTGCGCGCGGCGTTGAAGCGACAGTCCCGTTCGAGAGAACGCCCACTGGCTCATCCCTGTACGCGTTGCGATGCTCAGGCGTCAGGGTGCTAAGTGGTGAGGACGTATCGGGCGAACCGCCCAACCCGCCCGACCAGCACGTTTGGAGCGACATCTGGTTCGTCCTTGTAAGCGTTGCGATGCTCAGGCGTCAGGGTGGTGAGTGGTGAAGACGTACAGTGGGGACCCATGCCAAGAATCGCCCTGCTTGCCTCCGGGGTGACCCGGGTGTCTTGGGTGTCGATGGTTATGCGATGGAAAGCGTGACGTTCCCGCGCCAAAAATCAGTGGACGCCCTGGGGTCTCAGGGTTGGGTTTCTTGTGGGAGGTTTCTTGCGGGTTTCTTGTGGGAGGTTTCTGGGTTTCTTGTGGGAGGTTTCTGGGTTTATGTCGGTTTTCTCTGGATTGGGTTTCTTGGGTTTCTTGTGGTTTCTCAGGTTTCTTTTGGGTTTCTTGGGTTTCTTAGGTTTCTTGTGGGTTTCTGAGGTTTTTGTGGGAGGTTTCTTGGGTTTCTTGTGGGAGGTTTCTGGGTTTCTCCGGGTTTCTCAGGGTTGGGTTCCTTGTGGGAGGCTTCTTGCGGTCGGGCCTCCACCGTACCAGGCGAACCGCCCAACCCGCCCGACCGGCACGTTTGGAGGTACGGCAGGGAAGGACTGCGCATCGGGAAGTGGACCGTGGAGGAGGATGCAGAGGAGGAGGGGGAGGAGGGGGAGGAGGAGGAGGAGGAGGAGGAGGAGGAGGAGGAAAAGGAGAAGGAGGAGGAGAAGGAGAAAGAGAAAGAGGAGGAGAAGGAGGAGGAGGAGGAGAAAGAGGAGAAAGAGGAGGCTGAGGCTGAGCAGAGAGGAGGCGGAAAAGTGAGGAGGAAGGGCGGATGACGGAGGACAGAGGACGAGGAGGCATTGGAGGAGATTGAGGAAACGGAGGAGGGCGGAGGAGGAGGAGGAGGAGGCGGAGGAGGAGGCATGGCTTATGGAGCACGCGGCATTCCCAACCTGCTGTATGCAGGCTGTACGGCCGCAGAGCAGCGCAGCGCCCTGTCAGTCGCCCTGTCCACAGCCATCGCTTAGGAGGAACACGCATAGCTGCATACCATGACGAACAGGAGGCACGTTGTCGTTCCGCTTCCGAAACGCGCAGTGCCCAGTGCAACATGTATCGTCGACGGGTCGCGTGTTCGAGATCAGGTCGCCTGGTAATGTCTTCAGGATGCCCTTCGTGTCGGAGCAAGGCGCCCGCTCTCCAACCCCTCCTGGAAGCCGCTGCGTGTGGCCCGTCCGCGTGCTGGGCCATCCCGCCCGCCCATTGCTACCCCAGTGCATGCCTCTTCCCCATCACCTGGGAGGTCGGAAAAGGCGCTACGGTTAAGTCGGGCGTGTCCCTACAGGCGAGTTTTGGACGAACAATCAAAAATACTCCCAAAATGCTCCAACATGGTGTATATATATGTGTATATATATTCAAAAAAGTAGATCACCGACTAGCTTTTGACTAGTTTTGAGCATTCCCCCTGTAGAGGGACACGCCCGACCTGACGCTGCGGCGTCTTCCTGGATGGGGGCGGGGCCCGCAGGGGCCTCGGCTCGGTCGGCAGGACGACGTCTGCCGGCACCGGCCGGGGGTCCAGGGGGTGACGTGCCTCGGAGGAGTGCAGGGGTCGCCTGCCAGAACAGTTTGTCAGAGCCCCGAATCATCAGGGGTAACCCGGGTCAGGGTCAACTCGGGTTCGTTTTTCGGGAATCCGAACCCGAGTTATCCCGGACCCGAGTTACCCCGGATATTTCGGGCGTCCAGAGCCCCGAATCATCAGGGTTAACTCGGGTCAGGGCTAACTCGGGTTCGTTTATCGGGAACCCAAACCCGAGTTACCCCGGACCCGAGTTACCCCGGATAACTCGGGCGTCCAAGTTTGGGCTGCGCGCAAGTGGGGGGCGGTGGCAACCTCTTCCTTCCTTTTCAGGGAGGGGTCCACCCCCCCCCCCACCCCCTCCCCTGGATCTGCGAGGGGGGGGGGCCAGGATGGCGCAAGATGGTTCCAAGGGGGCCCCAGATTACCCAGCATTTCCCCCTGCGATGGTTGCCAGAGGTGGCTCAAGATAGCCCAAGAGGATGGCCCGAGACGATGGCCCGAAGACTACCCCGAGAGGACTCCGGGTGGCCACGGCGTCCCCCAAGGAAGACCCAAGACAGGCCAGCGCCCCATCAAGCACGTCAGGTGTTCCTCCGCCCTTCTCCCGCCATCGCCCCTTGCGCTTGCGATCGCTCCCTGAGGCCTCAGGATGGCCCCAAGGTCGCCCAAGGGAGCCCCACGAGGATTCGAGAGCAGGATGGCCCCAGGAGCGCACCAAAAGCGCCCCGAGAGGGCTCCGAGAGGCGACCTGTGGGGCCCTGTCGGGGGGGCTTATTTATTAAGGGCCCCCCCCCATCTTTGGTCGATGCCCTTCAGGATGGCCCCAAGAGGGCCCCAAGATGGCCCCAAGAAGGCCCAAGAGTGCCCAAGAGGGCCCCAAGATGGCCCCAAGAGGGCGCGGAGGCCCTCAAGTCTCCCAAGAGGGCGCCAAGATGGCTCCGAAAGCCCTCCAAATGGCCCCCCGGCCTGATCTGTTTCTTGGGGGGCCTGCTGGCGGTCTCGGGGGCATCTTGTCGCGGAGGACTCGACATGTCAGCTCGCAGTTCTTCCTCTTAGAGGCCCTCTTGGGCCGCCTTGTGGGCCTCTCGGGCCGTCTTGGGGCTCTCTTGGGCCGTGTCGGGGTCCTCTTGGGAGCCTTTTGGTCCGTCTAAGGGGCGATCTTGGAGTCATTTTGGGCCGTCATGGAGCGCCAGAAGCCCGAAATGACGAGATTGCTGAAGTCCTTCGAACTGTTGCCTTATAGGGGCGCTCTTGGAGCCCTCTCGGCGCGTTTAGGGGCCTCTTGGGCCGTTGGAGTCAATATTCGCAATATTGGAGCGTTACTGAGCCATCTTGGAGCCCTCTTGGACCGTGCTGGGGGGCCTATAGGACGCTCTTGGGCCGTCGGTGCGCCCTCTGGCTTTCCTGGGGGAAGTCACGCGAGCGTGCCCCAGTACCGCGCGGTAGCGCTCAAGAGCGCCCTGAAGTCGGGGCTGCCTTTCAGGCACAGAAGGAGCCCCGTCAGGCCTGGTGTTGGCCCAGCGCTCCCGTATTTACCAGTTTGAAGCATATCCCAAGTCCTATGTTTGGCATTACCCCACCTTGATGCCGATCTTGAGGGTTCCCCCTGTTTCTGAGGCTGTTCCCTAGGATCGTCGTCGCCTTTTCCTCGCCCATCTTCGGGATAGGCATACGTTCAAGGCTGGTTACCCATGCGAGTACGCGTGCTCGCTCCTGCGAGGCCCGTCCTGAGTTCCTGCCTCGATCGCGCAGCCAGGGCGCCAGGGCTTCAGAGACTCTCGTGCTGGTGCCGCCCCTGGCTCCCGTCCTCCGCCTCACCCCCGCAGCCTGCAGACGGCTGGTGGTGCGAGCGTGTTCCGTTTTTCGCCTCGGAATCGGTTCGGAGCTTGCTCCCTGCTCCTTTTTTTCCGGGGGCGGGCGCGAGCGGGGGCGAGGATAGCAGCGGCCCGAGGCTGAGAAGAGCCTGGTGTGGCATGGCCACGTATCCTGCTGTTCAAAACGAGGCACAGCTTGAGACCGCACTGGCACTGTGGGGGGGGGGGCGGAGGGCTGGCCTGGCTCCCAGAAAACAGTAGCTCGAGGGGAGTTGCACACTTTTCTCGCCGCCCTGGTCAGAGTGAGGGGGGCAAACGGTCTTACACCGTCCCCGGGTGCGCGGCTGAAGGGAGTTACTCTGGTGTTGATTATTTATCGCTTCGCTCATTCCGCCGGCCCATATTGCCTCGCCACTGTCGTTTGTCGGGGTGTTGTTGTCAATGCGGTGCGGTTGGGCGGCTGCCATTTTTCGGAGTCGGTGGGTGGCGGGTCAGAGGCCTCACGGATGTTGGTTGGGCTCTCGTTGTTGACCTCTCAGGGGCATTTGCAGGCAGTTTTGAGGCCTCTTGGGGCCGTGTTGGGGCCTCTTGGGGCTTCGGGCCTCTTGGGGATTCTTGGGGTGCCTCTT